TGTGCATAGATCAATGATTTATGTGGCGTCGAATTGGTTTAGAGTTAGAGCTTAGTACGAGCAGTATAGAATTGATGTTCAATTGACCATCACCTTCTTTCTCCCTAAATCAACTAATACACTTAGCGATTAGTGGCGGCTGGTAGGTTGTGAATTAGGAGAGGTAGTATGTATGTTCGAACTATAACATACATTTTACCTCTTCAAAATATTTCTTTAACGAGGAAAACTGTAGCTTAATGTACAACCGATTTGCACGTATTGGGATTTTAATTTTTGTCTAAGACAACCTGTACGTTGATACCGGAAGATATAATTGTGCTCATGCGCAAATAAGCGATTAAAACAACATTTCTAGTTCCAATTTAGGAAATCAGATGAAAGAGCCTATTCTTAGCTTAGTTAAAAAGCGCGGACTCTACCGATCAAAACCCTAATAGTAAAATTGCTGCTCCTTTCCAGTTTGTAGTACACTCACTATTCCTCAAGCTTCCATTGACTCGCATGCACCAGCCACGGCTGGACTCGCGATAGCACAATGCGACCAATTAAAAAAAATTATCTTTCGCTTAAGCGGGTAAATAAAACTAAATTCGTTCTCAAAATTTGCGCTAATGGTACGCAGAAATTAAACGAGTCGATTTATTGCAAGTTTAATACAGCGTGCCAGGAAAGTCTCTCCGCAGTGGCACCTTGCTGGTGAGAGTGCTACCAACAGAAATTGTGATGGAAGCTTGAGCTTCAGCTTAAAATCGTAAATTGCGTTCTCGCCACAATCGTAATAGATGCTGGAAGTGTTGCTCTCTTCGATTATTTCCTAGTGATTTGGTTGCTACCAACAAACACTGAGGAGCCAATACAACGGAACACCTGCCGTGTAGGGCCCCCGTGAGCACGCAGAAAAGCCGCAGCACGATGTGGCATGGATTTGACTGTCTGAAGTAGTGCTGGAGGTAATTGACACCAAGAATCCTGCAAGGATGTTCATAAACTCATAATAATTCGAGGGGGTGGAGATCTCTTCTGTACAGCACGTTCCAAGGCATCACAGATATTCTCAATAATGTTCATGACAGGGTATTTTGGTGGCCAGTGGAAGTGTTTAAATTCATAAGAGTGTTCCTGGAGCCACTCTAACAATTCTGAGAGTGTGGGCGGTCCAGCTGGAATTGTTAAAGCCCGCCACAATGCACAATGGACATGAATGGGTGCAGGTGATGAGACATGATGCTTACGTACGTGTCACCAGTCAGAGTCGTATCTAAACGTATCAGGGGCCCATATCACTCCAATTGCACTTGCTTCATTCCATCACAGAGCCTCCACCAGCTTCAACAGTTCCCTTTTGACATACAGGGTCCTTGGATTCATGAGGTTGTAGACATATTCGTCCATCCGCTCGAAACAATGTAAAATGAGTCTTCTTAGAATAGGCAACATATTTCCAGTCATTAACAGTACAATGTCGGTTTTGACGGCCCAGGCGAGGAGTAAAGCTTTTGTGTCGTGCAGTCATCAAGCGTACACGAATGGGACGTCGGCTCCGAAAACGCACATCGATAATGTCTCATTGAATGGTTCGCACGCTGACACTTGTTGACGGCTCAGCTTTGAAATCTGCAGCGATTTGCGGAAGGGTTGCACTTCGGTTACATGTAATGATTCTCCTCGTCCACGTCGGTCCCGTTCTTGCACAATATTTTTCTGGTTGCAGCGAAGCCGGAGGTTTGATGTTTTACTGGATTCCCGATAATCACGGTACACTCGTGAAATGGTCGTATAGGAAAATTCAAATTTCTTCGCAACCTAGGAGAGGATATGCCCCATCTCACGTGCGCCGACTATAACACCACATTCAAACTGACTTAAATCGTGATAACCTGCCATTGTAGCAGCAGTAACCGATCTAACAACTGTGCCACACTGATTGTCTTATATAGTTGTTGGCGACCAGAGCGCCGTATTCTGATTGGTTCCACATTTATTTCAATGTGCATGGATATACCGTTTTTTGGCTCTTCAGTGTAAATGCAATTTTAAAAGAAAGTCTTTCGGCTCAGTAAAGAGAGATTGTTCTGACGCACTGTGCTTTCTGCAACTTTTCCCGATATGTTTTTTTTTCTGGGGAGGTCGCCACTCTAGAGAGCTTGGGCGGCAGCCGCCACTGTCAGCGATGTGCCCCAACCGGCCAAGTCAGGGCAAAACCAAGGCAAAGGCAAGGCAAAGGCAAAGGCAAGGCAAAGGCAAAGGCAAGGCAAAGGCAAAGGCAAAGGCAAGGCAAAGGCAAGGCAAAGGCAAGGCAAAGGCAAGGCAAAGGCAAGGCAAAGGCAAGGCAAAGAGACCGACCTGCATGCGCAGCTTGAGCGCGGCTTGCTCCACGCTGAGGCCCGACGCCGCGCTGACGGCCGCCGTGGTGGCGGGCGACGGGTCGCGCTCCAGCGACGGGGTGAGGTCGAGGGCTGGGTCGCGGCTGCGGCGCGCCGCCCGGCCCTCGGCGGTGACGCTGGCGCGGAGCGGCGCGCGGCGCAGGAAGAGAGTGCGGCCGCGCTTGCGCTCCCAGTCCGAATCGGACGAAGACAGGCCTGCGCCGGGCGTCCCCGCCCCGAAGTAGTTGGTGCGCGCCTCCGGGTACGTGCGCCAGCCGGTCACTGCGCAGGCGACGGCCATCGCCGTACATGGCTTCGTCACATTGGTGTTTCAATACAAACACCCATGCTTTAAACACCAATTAATTGAAGCCGATGTTTTCTGAACGTCTATGTTTTGTGCTCCGTATTTTTACTTTTAGGCGTTTATTTTATGACCCCGAAATTCCAATAATCTCAGTTTCGTAAAAACTGACTTAGATGGCGCAGGACATCAAGTGATGTGACTGCAGTGCCTCTGATCGGGAGGTCCTAGGTTCGAATCCTGGATTATCGACACTTGCTAGTTTGAGTTCATAGCTAGGTTAAGTTCAGCTGCTGCTGTCTGGACGAGAATTCTAGCGGCCGGTTGCTCCGATCGGTAGTTTTCTGTGGTTTCTCCGATTAATGGCAGGCGAAATCCGGAGCAATACTCTAACAAATATGCCAAGGACAGTTTGTGATCTTTCCTTCCTTATCCTTGTCCTATACCCACTCCTTACTTACATTTACATGCTCTACACTGTCGCACATGTCGTGAGACCTGTCGGGAGCTTAGAGTATGTACCGACTGGGGTGGTGACCTACTGGTGGGAGATCGCGGCTATTAGGCCCGTCTCCCTGATAATTATACTGAAGTACATTGATGGCTTTGTGCACACATTTTCATTGTCCAAAACTCTTAATTTATTTAGAGAAAATCAAGCTTGAAAAGTTGAAAAGGTATCTCGTAGTTCAAAAAGCTTTTGCTTATAGTATTGGCCTTTCGACCTCATGTCGGATAAACTCGAAAAGCACAATTTCATTTTTATCCCTCGTATCATAAATAACTATTCTTATTCACATGATTTTTATAAAGTGATATTACAAAACGTATTCACCGATATACCCGTCGGACTAGTGCAAATTATTGCCTAATAACGTTAATAAGTATTAAATACCTTACTTCAGATGATACAAGCTCTAAGCTCCCGACTGAGCCTTTGACATGGGGAGTAGTGTAGTGAATGTGTACGTGTGTGTGGATGTAAGGGAAAAGAAGGGGGTAAGAATGAGGAAAGGACGATCGCGCGCGGTTTTTGGCCATTTGTTTAAGTCCTGCATTCCCTTGATATTAATCGCCGAGAGAGACGAAAACTACCAACCGGAGCAGCCGACAGGAAGAATTTCCCTCCAGATTTCCAGTGATTTAATTCGACTGAACAATGCAGATAATGACAAAAAATACGTCCCCGTCGCATCTCAAAACCTAGAACCTTGTCATCAGTGACGCTGCCACAGATCCATCAAAATCAGAACTCGAACATTAATGTTCGCGGTTATTAAACCGTTTTTTTAAATATCAGCAATATTTAAAATAGTGGGTGTTTTTTAAACAATGTATTACAGTAAAACCTGTGTCACACGGAATCGTTTGGGCCTTATACCGATTTCCAGCTTATTCAAGTTTGCAATAACTGTCAATTCAAAAAACACAATCGTTCAAGGATGAAATAACTTGAATGAGTACACTTTGAAGAAACGAAGTCCCGGGAGAGACAAAGAAAGTGAGATAAAGAAATGCAACACGAAGTCTAATAAAACAAAGATAATAAAAGGTAAAATAAATATTATTTTCTTCAATAGTTGTTGAAACGGATTAATTCATCTAATTATTTAGGCATCGGCTATTCTCGTGAATATTGTGGCAAAGACCTATACAAATTTATCTTAATCATTAATTCGTAATTTTATCTTTGTTTTTAAGATGTCATACATTTGAGTTTCCCAAATTTAAAATTCTTCATCAAAACTTAGACAGAAAAGTTTCTTTGCCCGTGTTTATCAATTATTCTATTTTGTCATCAAGAGTTAACGTTTTCAATTTGCCGTCTGAGCATATGATTAACACTATTAAGTCTATACGAAATCTAATAGACTTCGTGACAAGAATCGCTCTTATTGTCTTTCTTTCACACGGGCTCGTGTGAAGTATCTTTCTCTGAGTATCTTTCAATTACAATAACGTCACATTTGCAAGTGAATGTTCAATTTCAAATATATATTGATTTCCATCTTATTGATAATTTTTAATATCGTCTTACAAAATATTCCTTTCCGTTTCAGCGATTGGTAGGTTTCCGGCTTATTCAGGGTACTTTGCATTGGAAAATAGCTATTCTGAAATTTTTCTGGCGACGGCAGGTTTCCGCCTTATCCAGGTTCCACCTTTGACAGTTTTGCCGTACTAACATCGGCATTTTAATTTTGAACATGGATGTTCGCCTGCCCACCTGGATCGAGGTAGCCCCCGGGCGCGCGCCCCGCCGTGGCCTCCGCGAAGGCGGCGCGGGCCTGCGCGCGGATGTGCTGCGAGGCGTCAGCGGCGGCGGCGACCGAGGCGCTGTCGGGGGAGAGCGGCGGGGAGGCGGACGCGCCCAGCGACGTGCTGCCCAGCTCCACCGACGTCTCCGTCGAGTCGTCCTCCGCGCCCACCGCGCTGATGGTCACCGGCGCCGACAGCTTGCTCGCGACCGCCTTGCCCAGCGGCGTGTCGTCGCGGAGCGGCGGCGCGCGCGCGGGCTGCTGCAGGATGACGCGCGGGGGCTCCACGGTGTAGGCCGTGATCTGCCGGATGATGTCCATGCCGGCCGACGCCGTCGACTCCGCGCCCCGGGCGTCCGCTGTCGTGGTGAGGAGGCGCGTGGGCTGCAGCCCCGCTGGGAACGACGCATCCTGGGCTTCTTTGGAGAAAATGCTGTCGTGCGAGTTCTGCGGCATGGCGTAGTAATATTGGACTCTTGACGATGGGTAGGTGTTGGACTGATGCGTCGATGCCTGAAGTTGTCAAATCGACGTATTCTCTGTGATTTGCATATTTTACAAAACAAATTAGCATAATAAATAAACAGTTAATATAATACTATTTCGCTCGTTATTAAATGCTCATTTCTGAAAATAATTATTCAATTTCAGGTTTTTATTTACGTCTGATCGTTAATAAGAACTTTTATAACATTTTTAGGTGTCAAAAATACACAAATTATACTAAAAGGTCTCTGACTAGAAATTTTGTAGGTGTGTTATTATGAAGTAGGCATTTGAGTAGTATTGACTTATTTATTGAAAAATATTTTATTGTAGTCCTCTTTATTCTAATTTTTATGTCCTTTGAGACTGATTAGCAATATGACCAGAATACAACAAAATTCGTGTTTTTATGTTCTTGTTTCCCAGTATTCGGTTCGTAAACAGAAATTTACGTAAATTGGTAAAAAAATTGGTAAAAGGTAATAAGACGTTTTGTAGATATAATCTCATTACAGTTACGGTGGTTCGAGTTAAGGGGAGTTGAATTAGCGGATTGAGTTACAGCGATTCAAATTATTGCTATTCGATTGATTAATTAATGATTCCGGGCGTGTCAACTGCTAAGGTCATCAGTCTCGAAAATGTAGTACGTGCTTTTTGTGTGGAGGTGGCGGTAATCTCTCCCCACTAGATGACGAGATCCGATGCCAAACTATGTCGGTTTACGGTGATTTTCCCTTCCACGAGGTTTCTTCCACCAGCGGGCCACCGCCCTATCTACGTTCCCGACCCGTCTCCAGATATCTGCGGCAGTATAGTGCATGCAAGTGTGTGTGTAAGTAAGGGGTGAGGATAGGACAAGAAAAGAAAGGAAAGATGTCGCGTGTTCTGTGGTCCATTTGTTTGAGTACTACCTGGACATTTGGGTGATCTGGGCTGTCCGGGTGACGTCGGCAACTCAGCCTTCGACGCGGCGTCACCCGGACAGCCCAGATCACCCACATGACTCTGGTCGCGGAAGCCTACGACTTCATCTACCTGGACATTTGCCTGGGATTGCGCGAAGAAACCACAGAAAATAGCGATCAGAGCAGCTGGCTGCTGGAATTCTCCTTTAGACAGCGGTTGTACTACATAATGTCGCTGACTAGCTATGTACTACATAATGTCGAAAATCTTGCTACAGTCGGGACTCGAAACCAAGACTCTCCCGGTGAGCTTTGACATTAATTGATGCTCTGAACCACCCAAGCCCGTATGTATAATCGAGTTTCAGCGGTTCGAGGTGTGAAGGCCCGCATTCTAAAAGTTCACTGCCCCCGCATTCGCTAACGTAGTAGCAGGCGGTGTGCGAGCGTGTCCTGCCTTGGCGGGGGCGGCGCTGACGACGCTGTTGGGCGGCGGGGGCGGCGGCGGTTGCGCGGCGGGCGGGCGGCGGTGCGCCGCAGACGAGGAGGCGGCGGCGACGGTGCCGGCCGACGGGATGGACTGGCCGCGGCCGAGCGTCGCGCTCAGGTAGTCGCTGGGGCTGGCGGCGCCCGTGGACAAGTCGTGGGACGAGCGCTTCAGCGCCGACCGTCGGTCTTCCTCGGGCTCGCCCTCCGCGCCACCCGGGAGGAGGGGGGGGGCAAGGTTAGCGACAGCGCCGAGTCGACGGAGGGTTTGGGGAAATGTTCACATTGATTGATTACTACTGATTTACAGGTGTGTCAACTGCTAAAGTCATTAGTCCCGTAAGTGTAGTAATTTTGTTTTGTTCGGGAGATGGCGGCGATTTTGCCGCGCTGGATAGTGAGATCCAGAATCCGACCTACCGTCGGGTAGCGGGTTTTCCTCAACCAGGTATCTCCCACCAGCGGGGCACCGCCCCAGCTGGAGCAAGCTCCCGACCGTTCTTCCGGCATGTGTGGTAGTATAGTGCATGCAAGCGTGTGCGTGTGTAAGAGGTTAGGATAGCGATCCGCTGCCTGTTTGGTAGGGCAGTGTTCCGGCATTCGTCTGGTATTGATCGGTGAAACCACGGAAGACTACCGACCAGAGCAGCCGATCGCTAGAATTCGCCTCCAAACAGCGACTCGACCTAGCTATCAGGCATGTTTCGAAAATTCTGCCACCATCGCGGCAGGATACGGCGGCGATGGTGTAACGGTTAGCGTACTGGACTGTTGTACCCAAGTTGGCGGGTTCAAACCGTGGATTTTAAGGACAAAAATCATTCGTCACGCGCTTCCTTCGGAGGGAAGTAAAGCCGGCCTGTCCCATGTTAGTTAGATTTACTTGCATGTAATAAGATCCTCAAGCCAATAATGACTCCTCTAGCTAAATTCAAATCGCCTGTTTCTCGCCCAAGAAATACCTCCTTTCTCTCCTAGTTGGTTGAAAAGGAGCCGTAAGCGAAATTTGCCTGTGGTCAGACGGAAGAGCGAGCCTGATGGCCCGAGTCTCGCCACGAAAATAAACATCAGTTCAATTCAGAGTCATTCCACTCCTAAATGACGCCTCTGAGCTAAATCAAATCGCCTGTTTCTCGCCCCAAGAAATACCCCTTTCTCTCCTAGTTGGTGAAAGGAGCGTAGCGAAATTTGCGTGTCAGACGAAGAGGCGGGCCTGATGGCCCGAGTCTCGCCACGTTAAAATAAGGCAAATTCAATTCAATTCAATTCAATTCAATTCAATCGCGACTCGAACTCTAGTACCTTCCGGTCAGAGGCACCGCATAACATCAGTTGATGTGTACGTAAGCTTCCGCGGCTCGAATCCATGAATTCTCGGCTGTCCGGGAGACGCCGCGTCGTGGCTGGTGGCGACCAATCAGGAGACCTCTCCGGCCAATCAAGCGCACCTGCCCCTCCCGAGAGCCCAGGCAAGAGTAGTTTAAGACAAACGGGCGCGGTAGCGCTCGCAGGTCACTGCCCTGAGGAAGCTGCGAAATGGCGGCCGAAAGTCGGCACCCCAGCCAACGACGCGGCGTCTCCCGGACAGCCGAGAATTCATCAGTTGATGCCCTGAGCCACCTCTCTCGGTGAATGTTCACGGCATGGAATAGAATATTCCGAAACGTCGTCGAACTTTTAATTTTTCTACTCACTCCGACCAAATCTCGTGAACGACATTTTCCAATTCTATATCAGGGTCGGGAATTCTACAGTAGAGAGTGTTTGCCCGTCGTAAAGCACTGTGGCGCACGCCTGCTGAACTCAATGGCTCGGCGAGCCGCCCCAAGCCGATTCCGGCGCGCGAGCGCTGAAATTCGCTTGCGAGCTACGTTGTGTCGAGGAGGGGATGGATGTCACTCAGCGGCAGGATTAAATGGCTTCAAGACAGGATAAAAACTTTGATAAATGTTTACTCTTTACGTGCATTCTTTACTCCTGGAAATCGTAAAGTGGCCGGTAAAATGAAATTTCTGCTTGTATTTTAATTCTTGTGTCGATTCGCACCGCTATTTGCTATACAAAAAAGGCGTTCGATAATACTTCGCTTCTCCGTAGCAGAAGCTACAATTATATTTGAAAACCTTTTCTTGTGTAATTAGAATAAATAAATTCTATTACTAAACAAGGAAAGTACACTTTTTATATTTTTGTATATTAAGTATTATTAAGTTTAAGAAAATAAAACCATTGTTTTATTTTGACTCAAGATATTGACTGCGAGGATAGCTGAATGATTCTTGTTTCCGGAGGCAGAGGAGATTATTATCGCAATACCGCCCCTCGTGTACATTAACGTGCCCTGTCAACAAAAATTTCTTATAGAAGGCATAGTGTATTGTCCTGCCCCTTCTCATATTGCACCTGCACTTTCCTTCACCGTATATTCTGGTATTCGTAACCTTAGGGTGGGTTTTCTCAATATCACACAGCAATAGATACTGAAACATTTGTAAAGAAAGCACACAGGTATTTTGACCCCACCTGGAATCGAAACTAAGGTTGTGCCGAGGAAAGCAAACATACTAACCAACGAGCCACCGAGAGCTCTATTACCACTACTTGTCGCAGAAAGTGAAATGTCAAGAACACCTCTGTAATCAGCAAGAAAACCTTAGCCGCCAACACAACGAAAATTATTCTAGTGCATAAAAAATGGAATGGCGGAGACTCCTTGTAGCCTTACTTTTTGCCCGTCATTGACGGCGGACTTGGCTGCAGACTCCGTCTCTAAATTACGTGCGAAGCTCACACGTAATTTAGGGTTCGAAACGTTCAATACAAGCGGTTTGGGTGTCTCCCACACGAAATCCTTTGCAGGGTCATTTGCATTTTGCTCCTGCAAAACAGAAATCCTGCGTATTAATACCTTGTTATGTCGGTTAGACAGCGATAAATGAAAAGCGCGCCAGAAGCAATGCAGTTTGTGAGACGGACTCAAACAACGTAGGAGCTACCAAGGGTACTTGGGAAAATTCGCGGCTAATGGGAAGCGAGGAAGAGAGAAAAGGGGACCAGATTCCACAATCAGACTCATGTTCGATGAAACTTTTGCAAGAGCTGATTATACTACTAATAATATACATCAATTCAGTTCCACTCCGCCGATCGCGAATAGCACCGCCACCATTGCCCCAGCCCCTCTCCCAGCGGTCGATGGCTAACCGCCACTACGAGGCCGACACCATCCTGCAGCAGGTAAAGCGCTCTGAGAAACATGTACACTCGGCTCTGCTGCTAGCAAGATACTCAACATTTTCCCGCGACTCCAACTCAGGTCCTCCGAATTAAATATCCGTGAGCCTTCCTCTATGCTACGGATACGCTGTGTAACACTGTGTAAAATGATGTGTGACACACTAACACATAGGTACTTAAGGGGATTACAGGGATACAGTAGATAAGGGCAGTTACAGGGATGCTACCAACGCTACTAGACATATAAAATTAAACTATTACTAAAACGATCAGGTCTAGGAGACGTTTCTTCGGAGACGGTTCGGGATAGCGGAACAGTTGAAATAGAACGGCTAACTTCTGATAAACTTTCGGATATTAACATACTAGATATACTGGCAGCTACGCTGGTAAACGTTCGCTAGTGGCATGGGGTTGCGAAAGCTGCGTTCGCACTTTTAGAAGGGACGAAAAAGAGTGGGATACGGTTCGTTTTGGGTTGGGGGTAGTGGATTCAAAACACTCGACTGGCAATGGCATCTGGGTGCTTTGGGGTGATAGGGAAGATTGGATCCACATCCTTTCAAATTGCTGTGCTACGGAAACATGGAGAGGAAAATGGATCAGGATGGGGAGCTACTGCTTCCAACAGAGAAACGTAACGCTCGCCCAGAACATATTAGGTGACATTGGGTCTGACTTTACGAAATAATTAGGAACATTTCAAGGAAAGGTTCGGATCATTAGGGAAACGGAAATTAGGGAGTGGGTAAATAGCACTGGTTAGTATGAGCGGAGCCTAGACTGGGGAGGAAATCAATAAGTTAATAAGTAAACAATGAATAATTTAATTAGTAATTGAGTTAAGTTAATAAACCGATAAGCAATTAAATCATTAAATAATATGTCAATAAATCATCAAGTAATTTTAAATAAGCACATTAGTGGGCAAACGCGAGTGTGTGTCCTGAAACAGCGCAGAGGCGTTGGTGCGGACGATATTCTCTGGCGCTGTTTGACTTGTTAAAACGCTTTAGAAGCGGCAACGCAAACAAGTACGTGGTTGTGCTAGGGATTTGTCGAATATATTTTACAGATGTTTGATTTGCTAAAATCTTTGAAATATTACGTAAACAGTACATGTTCTACAACAAAATTTGGATAGACAATAACGAATAAATATGTTTAAATGACATATGGATATATCTGTATAAAGAACGATGAACTGACCAATTCAGACGGCTTACGCAGAGAGCTGGCTAAATGTAGGTGGTTGTTAGAGTGTAATGCGTTTCGTGTGTTCGAGGGAATAAATATTTTCACATTAAAATGCGTTGTGAATTATGCGCTGCACAGACTCGACACTCGATGTTTTAAATCAATCACGAAGGCCGAAGACCAATGCCACAAAGTCTTAATTCGTAATTGCGTAGCATGAAAAATTAATTTTCCACGTTCAGACAGATTATTGTTTATCTCATCTTATCTACTAGTCGTCATCACCGTAATGTTAAATTCATCTAACTTGAGAGCTAGTAGCCACTTTGTGTTGGCTATTGAGCACTTCATCCAGTGAAAATTCGAAGCACTATGCTTATAAATATGTTCCTACATCGCACAGTATCTGTCGATTTTAGATAACATTAGTGAACATTAACCGTCTAATCTGCGAATTAGTCAAAAACGCACTCTATCCGTAACATATACATTACATAAAATCCTTAGATTACAAGTATTATTTATACACCACTTTTCTAAGTGTTTTCGGTCTCACATTTTTCGTCGGAGGGCTCTGTTCTAATGGCGGTGGGTCCTTGCTTTCAATTGGGCATGTAGACGGTCCCGGCGCATGATTTCGGGACGGCGCCTTATGGCACGGCGACTTGTCATGCATGCAGCTGATGATAACTGGCTGTTCAGCAGGCGTGCTGATTATAAGAGGCTGCTCGGTATTGGCGCTGATTATTATCGGCTGCCCAGTGGTTGCGGCCATCAGCAAAGCAGGCTCAGATTTCTCCCATATATTTGCGCTGGCAGGTGCAATTTCATCCTATGAAACAACAAGAGATTATTTGTGAATAGGGGCCATTTTTGACTATAGGAATACTTTGAAAAAAGCAGTAGAAATCTGACAACTTTCGCACTTTTCTTTAACCCTATCCTATATCATAATTCTTTTCGTCTTTAGGCCAATATAGAGCAATAAGGGACGCATTGAAGTTTGTACGCCAAAAAATTGGTGCTCATCCCATTTTTGGCGAACAATATTTTCGTAAATTGAAAAACGAAATAGAACATTATTGATGATTTTATGTTACATAAAAACTGTTGTAGAAAAATATATTTTTAAAGAAGATCATGTACAATTTTTTGAAAATACGTAATTTTTGCTTGAAGTTAATGCAATGTACTTCACTTTTTTTCTCAAAAAACGGCTTCAACTTTTCCCTCCGATTTCCCCTTCAAGCATTAATTGCGCGACTGATCTCCTGACATATATGGTAGTATAATGCAGTCAGAGTGGTCAGGTAAAAGGAGAAGAGAAGAGAAAAAAGAGGAAGAATAGATCACACGCGGTCCGTGGCTCGTTTGTTAAGGCTCTGCTCCGGCATTGATGTTGATCGGTGAAATCACTAAAAACAAGCTATCAGAGCAGACGTACCCTAGTATTCTCTTCCAGTCAGCCGCTGAAGCTCGTATCGACAATCAGCCACAGTCGAGACTCGAACCCTAGGGTCACTAAAGAGACAGCCAATGCTGCATGTGAGTAAACTCGGCGGATGATGTTTACTTTCTCGTGTACTAACGTAATTACGATGTATAGAGAAAGTTACGTAATACTGCGCAAAATAGATTTCATGATTTCAAGGGAAATACACGATTTGGATCCCTCTGGTACCGAAACAGTATGCGGTGCCGCAAAGAAAACGGCAATGCACTCACTGAGACCTCTATGCCGGTGTGTGGGTTGCCGACACGTGCCCTGGACCCGATTGATTCACCCCCACCAGCGGGGCACCGCCCCAGCTCCCCAAGGGCAAGCACTAAGCTCCCAACCGGCATGTGTGGCAGTGTAAGTGGATGTGTGTGTAAGGGGTGAGAACTGGACAAATTCGCGGTCTGTGGCCCGCTTGTTACAGTAGTGCTCCGGCATTCATCTGGTATGGAACGGACAAACCACGGAAAACTAGCAATCTGAGCAGCTGAGCGAAAGAATTCTCCTCCAGACAGCGAGTGAATTCGACCTAGCTATGGAGCTAGAGACGAAAATCCTGCCACCGTCGGGACTCGAATCCTAGGACCTCCTGGTCAGAGGAAGGGCAGTGTTGAACCTGTGCGCAAGCGAAGTGCGCCGTGGGCGTTGGGGTGGGCGTTGGCGTGGGCGTTGGGGTGGGCGTTGGGGTG